GGGCTTGCCTTCAACTATAATGTCCTTCTCTTTGCCTTCTTTTGTCAATCAATTATTTTTTTGGTAAAAATAAAACACATTCTCCTTAAATTATAAAACTTGTTCGGCTCAGGGTAAGGGACCGATTAAAAGCTAGTCATATGTGCTCCTATTTGGGAGGTAAAGTGATAATAATACAAGAGGGATATTGGGGATGCATGAAGATGACATTTACATTTCTACTACCTAAACTCCTCCGCGATAAAAACAACCTCATTGATTCTGTAATTTTGATTTAACTGACTCTGACAAGATCAGAGCCTTTCGTCCAAATAACAACACATCAACTGGGTATAATATTGCTATCCGGACTAAATTATACTTTTTCAAGCCATCCCTAATGGCATTTACATCGAAATTGAAAGTTATTAGCAACACCAGACTACTTTAAAGACTAAAGAAGACAATACTAGGGGACAATGTGTATTACCGATGTACGGTAGAGCATGAGGCTACCGGCATATCTCTGGGGTCAGCTCGTCCGGCAAAGGTATGATCGTGGAGCACTTAAGTGATCCCTTTACTAAAACCGACAGTTAAACAGACAGTCAACATACTAAGTAAGGCCCCTCCTCTTTTGAACAACATCTTCGGCGCTCTCCTTTGGTCAGCCTCCCTTGTCAGCCACCACAATGCTGTCAGTGCTGTGAGGCAGAGATCCGCGCGCCAACAGCGCCAGTCGTCAAATTTGTGAGAAAATAGTGATTCCACTGGTTGCGGAGTTTCGTTCTGTTTGGAAAATAGATTCGGTGAAGTGGTAATATGCTGGCTATCTCGCGTAACCATAGCCAGTTGTAAGAGCACTAGACTAAAACAGATTCAGTAAACAAAGGATGAGATAAAACATAATTCAATGAGGACAAATTTTCGCTACCCTTCCTTCTCGCCACGTTGTTCCCACCTCAGAGCTGCTTAGCCATATCTATCCGAGTTCTATCTATCTAGTAGAGAACTGGAGAAGAGAGCGATATTTCCATGCAGGAACAGTATACAGCTCCGTAAAAAATTATTCTAGGTGATTCACAGGGACGGCTAGTGCCAATTCATTTGTTAATAACTTTTCCACTAAGTACGGGTTCAGGGTAGTTGCCAAAGGTAGACGGCACCTTCATACCCTCTGTCAGGGGTCTACAACAATTCTTCTATCTTCAGCACATACACTTTTTCTACCCCGCTAGGGTTCATCACCCAACAGTAGATATTAGGATGGATGGCCTCTAAGACGTAGTTCGCTTTCCGCTACCAACGGCGTAGCACCCAAAACTAACCTGAAGGAAAAATAATGCATAATACTTAAGCAGATACTGTATTGTCAGTCCTCAGGAGGTGCAAGGGGCTACTTCCATGGCCTAGAGACTAGCCCACTAGGCAAAGGTACAAAAGTGGAGGCCCTAAGTGGTCCATTGCCAAAACTACGAGTTAAACAACCAACGGTAGATCAAGAACACTGGTAAGGAAGAGGATTAAAAAAGGACATATTTCTAAAGTATGGGGTTTGTAGGCGAATAAAAGGATTTGAGAGTCTCTTCAGTACTAACGGCTAAGTCCTTAAGCATTCAGCAACTGTTACAACAACATAAGAGTTGTCAGCAGTGGGTTTAGTTTGAGCAATTCAACATGTGAGCATGTGAAATGGTCATCAATTTGGAATTTTATCAAATGAAATTTGCAGTGAACTTAGCATAAAAGTTGAAGCTGTAATTCTTTGATCATTTGCTTACCCCTTCGTTGTGGTTTCATAAGCACTTAAGGCTCCGCGATTGTGCCTCTGCTGGGTGGCATGGCCTTTGGGTTGTGCCAGTGGTCCCCATCCCTTCTGCACGTGGGCAGTGTATATCCTGCCCTAATAATTATGTTTTCTTGCATCTTCAAGGAAGTCTCGAGGCTCTATGAAAGGCAGTGAGAGGCATTGTAAAATTCACTCACCTGAATGTATTCAAGTGAATCAGGAAGAAGATGCCAGCATGGCGTTAATTTGGTGATGTCCCACACCTTGACCAATAGTGATGAAACGGCCACGTTGCATGCTTGTCTCTAGAAAAATCTAGACTATGTAGATGCTTGATAGACCATAATTTTCCCGAATTCCGTGAAAAATTTGCATAAACTGATGGGTATGCATAAAGAAGAGCAAATGCGGCAAATTTTATTTCCAAAACTTGGAAATTTTCAAAATTTTGAATTCAAATTAATAGTTGGCGGCAGAATATTTCGAGCAGAAATCGGGATGAGCTGTTGTTGCGATTAATTGGCCTTATAAAAAGGAGAATTTTGTTGACATTCAGTTTTGATATTCAACCGAGTTCGGAATCTCCTCCCTCATATTGGGGGAGGTTTCCCCCAGCAGAATGGTGGCCAGATTTCGCAAGTTTCTGCAATTTCTGCGCTGCATATGAGTCCTAAATGATGCCGAGTAAAGATTCAAGTCACCCAAGTGCAATTATTTACCTCCTTCTGGTATGACACTGAATTATTCCACGAATTTTCTCATGCCGACAGCAGGACTTTGGCGGATAGGAGTGCATAGGACTGTATCTAACTCAGATAAATGAAGACAGTCATTGAGGTATTTAATGCAATCTGATGACAAAACTCCTCGAATTTTAGAGGAAGATTATACCCAATACAGGACCCGAGACCTGATGAGAAGATTAGAGAGGGCAGAAATGAATACAAGCTTATTCTGTAATTCTACACCTAATGCATATTCTAATGGCTTCGGGTGCATTAATAACAAAGTGTTAATAGAGGACGAAGGTATCCATGAAAGTGTACCTTGGCGTTTCCTGTGAGCATTCCAAAGGAAGGAACCATTAAGAAAACAATAAGTCTGAATCCAGTAAAGCCTTCAGTCGATGTGTTTGGAACTTCTCAAATAAGTTAAGCAGTGGAGGGAGGGTAGCCTGGCTCAGGGCACACCGACCTCAGTCAAGGCCACTGGGTTAACAGTTAAAAACAGGTGAAGCCCACACCTGTCTGTCTCACTAAACCCCCCACACCCCCCACTCCACCAGCACCACCGCAAGTGACACCTTCGCGCGACCACTGCTCATGGGTTGCGTGTTGACGCGTAGGTGCGCACGTACAACCCCTACAGAAGCAATATAAACGCCTATCCGAGCACGGAGGCACTCCTACCGACAAACAAACGTGCTATTGCGTCGGTTGTGCATTGAAGAGGTTGAGTTGCATCGCGTTGACGGAGAGGGAGAAGGTGTCTGCCATCCAACCGGAAGAGAACACTCTAATCGCCTGAGCATCGGCTCGTGCAGAGTTTGCAAGGATTCGCACTGCCTTCTCCTCCCGACTACTTCGTGGTGAGCTACACTGTCCTCTTGGTCAAATCAACCTTGTTTTATGTCTTTTATTCCATTTTATGCCGGTAGTTCCCCCTCTTATCCAGTGATTTTGCACATAATTTATGCAGATCTCTTTTTTAAATAAGGGAGTCGTTAATTGAGCAGACGTAGTGATTTGGCAATAAATACGTTTCACTTCTCATGCTCCTTGCTCGCTTACTTTCTTTGTACGACTCAAAAAGTAGTTTTCTAAAGTTAATCAAGAAAGAAATGGAAATGTAAAAAAATTGTTACATTGGAAGAAATACTTGTGATTGTGAATGCATGGATTATCATACCTGGAAGGATTATCAAATCCCGACTTACTCAAAATTCGTAATTTTTGGAGAGGCATTTTAACACACATGGGGATGTGCAAAAAAGGCCTCCGCAACCTAAGCGCCACGAGACCATAACGACATCAGAGGAATCTCAGACCTGTGGCTCTTCATTAGGTTGTTTTTGAAACCCCAAGAATTTCTTCTCAGGAGTTTTGTCCAAGGTCTCTTTCCAATTCGCATTGATGAGTGATTTAGTGGTTACTTAGATTTTCGAAAAAGATATCTTAGTAAGACTAAGCATCAGCCTCATTCGGATGTCAACTTTGATGGATTGCGCACGTACTTAGTACTTGATTCCTCGAGCAATGCAATTTGTCTGCAATTTTTGGTAAAACAACTTTGACTGATGTGGTCACCCACGTGGTCATTTATTTGTCACGGTTACGAACTTATAATAAATAGGGTCTAAACACTTTAATTTACTTCATCTTCAGCTTCCTTAAAGAGCATGTCTTTGGTTCACACCTTGACAATGCACACATTTACTGATGGAAATGAAAGCTTCATGGGCCATTTATACTTAGGCAGTTTAAACCGCTGAGGTTCATGAACGCTATCATGTCAAGCGTCGTGCTGTTAACGGAGGCATTGTCTTAGCAAAGATAGGTGAAAAGGTTAGGCAACCATGTTTTGCAGAGCATTAAAGGGGTGTTTTTCGGGTAGTTGCAACAAATCACAATCCCTAGGTGTTGTGACCTCGTAGTTGACACATCTTCGCACAAATAACATTTCAAGACATTGCAATCCATGTTATTATCTACAACAGTGCAACTGATTAGATTTACTTGCTTAAATAAAGAAAAGAATAATTCAAAACAATTTTAGTTTAACGTTGGCCAACGATCAATGTTTTGGAGGTTCCAAATTAAGATAGATAAAATCTTCTAAGGTTTACTTCAGATAGTGTGAGGATGAGGGTTTGAGGGCAAAATACTCTACTTGTGGAAGACTAGACTAGATTGTTTCTGCTTGTAGCAATGTAACTACCCTACTTTTTATGTCTAACACAAGAAGCGGGGTACTTCGGTGTGATTAAATGTGGTCGAATAAAATGTAGGTGAAAATGTTTCTTCCACGTAGACGGCTTTTTCCTAAATACCCTTACCCCCCCTCTGCCTGTCCCTTTCCCATCGCTCCTGTTTTGGACTGTGTGGGGATAGGGGCGCAGAGAAACGGAAGTTACCTGTCACCCGGACCTGAGAGGGAGGAGAGAGAGAGGCAAATCTGTAGTTTCAGCCACTTCCAACTTCCGCCAGCGACACCACTCTCTCTCTGTCTCTCCTCACTCTCTACCACTCCTCAGAATGGTGATAAAAGGCAAAATTTAGTGCACAAACCCACCCAGCCCGTTTCCCTTGCATCGTGGGCCTTACAGGTCCCTGTCATCACCGGATAAGAGTCTGTAAATGGTGAGAGAGCAGCAGCGGCAGACGTGGATTGGACAGGGGAAGGAGAAACGCTCCCTTTCATCCTCCTTTCTGTGGAGAGGTGGGGCAGTTAACTGAGAGAATTCCGGT